ATTTCCCAGTTTCTCGTTTTTAAACTTTTGCTGGGTCACATTGGTGCATGCTGAGCATTCAAAGTTTAGAAATGGTCACATATCATACTAATCACAATCAGCAGAATCTGTTTCTGTCTGTTTTTTCGGCTACTTGAAGGACAAGACCCCTACGCCATGATGACTGGGTGAGGAAGCGCCTACTAGTGTGCTTAGAGAACATGCTCTTACTGTGATCTGGTTAAAAGGGGTCATAAACAGTAGAAGGCAAGAAAAAAAAGGTCAAATAGACAAGTTCCACTGTTTTATATGATGAAAAATAAACAGTGCATTACTTTTGATGGAAAAATGAAATTTCAAAAAATTTGTAACCCTTGAGCTCCCATCACTATGACTCTCTGTCTCTACAAGAAAGAGGAAAAGCAGGAGCTCTGCTAACACTCACATTCCTCATAAGATCCCAAAAAGACACACACACATGAATGCACCTGGCCTCACCTGACACGTTCACATGGAACCCAAGTTCAGGAACCAAGATCCCGGCAGGTTACCGGCACTGTTATCATGAGTATACCAAAAAGCTATTTTCACAGCAGACATTTTGATGTGTCATAGGCAGCGTGCACAAAAACAGGACCCTGAAACCTAAGGAACTAAATGGGATTCAGCCACCGTTACTTACATTTTTTTTTTTACACCTGTGCTGTGACATGTCTTGTCATTCTTAGTCAGTGACAATTTCAAAGCCACAAGGAAATGTACACAAAAACACTGAACACACCGACATCTGTGCATGAAGTGGAAACCTCTTAAGCTTCTGAGTTTTTGTTTTGTTTGATTCATGCAGTCCCCCATTCTGCCCTCTGCGTGTGCACACACACACACACACATACACAAACACAGAATCACCGTCTCAGCTACAGTTTAATTTCATTTTGCACTGCACCAATCTAGGACTACAAACACACACACAAACACACAACGCACTTCATAGCTCTCATACTGTATAGTGTGCTGCCTCCTCTCAACCATCCAGAGAACTAACCAGCTGATCACAGCTTCTGTTCACAGAAATCCAATTCTCTCCAAAGGTCATTTGTCCATTCATAGATTTTCATTTTTCCCTGTGCTCTCCCATCCTCTCTTATTTATTCTGGTCATTTGCTACTTCTTGAAATCTATACCCTTTGCCCTCTTCATCTTCCCTCCTCTGCCTCTTTATTATTAGTTGTATGTGTTTTGGTTTGAACCCTATCTGCCCCTGTCTTGGCTCTCTTCCCCCTTCCCCTCATCACACTCCCTGGATCACAGCCAGTAAGAGGTTCTTGGCTGTGAATAGCAACACAGGGCAGAGAAGGCTCTAACCAGGTGTCTGGGTCACTGAGGAAGTGGGCACAGCAGGGCAGAGCTGGGCTACGTGGCTCTGCCGAGTTTAAAAAGGCAGACACGGGCATTGCTTAGGTAGCCTGACAGAGCTTGGCTGTATTCCTTGGCATGCCTGAGTAGGTTGTAAGAATTGATTAGTAATGACATGAGTTGTTCAGGGGCGAGAAGAAACAAATTAAATACAAGTGGACAGCACTAATGTGATTATTTAAAAGGGTTTTTTTGTTATCACAAGTTGGGTTAACTACTACAGCACTGACCTCAGTAACATTCTTACTTCACTTATTTCTAGAAACATGATTTTAAGGGGTTCACATTTTAAATACATACTCACAAGACCATATGTAGGCTATGTTGGAACAGTTTTTGGTTGTGGTGATCATTCTTTCTGTCCATACTAGGGATGGGCATTTTAAGCAGACATACTATGGACCTATTTGACCAGTCTCAAGATAAGGTCCACTCCATTCAGCTGATGAAGGATGGTAGAAACACGTTGTGGTGGCATTAATACTGTAAGCTGTCTTTACTGTACTCAGCCTTAACACTATTTAGGCTGCAAACTGAGCGTCTCACAGCGCTGTAGCCAAACTGAACGTGCCATACACACGTTTCACTGATGCCTGTAGTGACACGTTACCTTGCCTTAAAGTATTCTTCTTTTTTTTATATAATTTAGTCATTAATTTTGAAAATTACGACCCATCCCTAGTCAATACTGGCTCTGAAGAGATCCCTTTCTAATGCAACTCTGATGTTAATAATGGGGACAAATTCCTTATTCTGTGCAAAAATGTATTATTATTAAGTTTAACTGAAGTTGGTATGAGACTTCAGCAGTCTCAGTTAAACAAATAAAGTGAATATTTTCATCCGTAAGTTACATTCCATTTAGTATGGAATTTGTTTCTTCTGGCAATGTTTTGTTGCTGAGCTGCGGTGGAGAGTAAAATAAAGAGAAAATTCTGCAGTAAAAAGACCATAACTTTGGAAGATAACCACTCTGATTGCTCAAGTCCCATATTAGCTTTACTGCACTTAAAGCTGTTTTTGTTTTGTTTTTTTACAAAAAAAGTTAGGTTTACATTTGGTCTTTTCAGCAAAATGCATTGTGTGCATTCTTAAGGGCCTGTCAAATGTGTTTGTAAACATTTGTAAAGCTGGTTATTTAAATCATTATTATACTCGTGTGCATGCATGTCCATCCATGTGCGTGTGCAACATTGCTTCATAGTTCTACTAGTGACCAAAAACTCTAGAGGATGCCTTTAAGAATGCATTTCTGCAGATAAAGAGCCCCATCTCTTAAACTGCAATCACATTAGGAAGGGATCTCTTTGCGGCCAAAGTCACAGGAGGAATGATTACAGCAAACAAAAAGTATTTCAATGTACACACAGGCATGTGAGTATTACTTTACATAACACAGAGTCGAAAACATGTGAACATATCCTTAAAAATCCCGACATACCTGGTGGTGCAGTCAGCCACTCAACAAACTAGTGACTGATGCTAAATTCTCATTGGTTGTCTGTAACCATATACTTTGACAGTAACCTTTCCTAGAAATTAGCAGTAGGCCCTGGAATGACAGGCCAGAGAAGCAGCAGCAGTGAGTTGCTGCTGGCTGGTGTCAGGCTAAGTGGGCATGTCAGGCCTGTGCTGTCCTGGCTCCCTGCCTGCTCTCTCAGCGGCTTGCTCAGTCCCCTGTGTCCTCAACTCTAAACGGATCCAGTCGCTGATACTCAGCTCCAGTGGTGGGCTGATCTGGCTGACTATGAATACTTTTCCTAATGAGGGGAACTCCTCCCCCCAATCTCATCATTCCCTGTACACATCCTTTTTGCCCATTTTTGCTCCTATTTACTTTCATTTTTTCCTCTGCCCCATGGCTTATCTCTCGCACTTGTCCCTTCCACCTCTTCCTCGGGCACTGCTCTCCATCTTTCTGCATCCTCTCATCTCAGCGGTTCCTGTGCACATTCTTCACACTGTCTAAATCTCACTTCTCTCCCTTGCCGACAGCCATCCACCGACTGTTTGCCATCTCTTTTCCTTTTTATCTCTATTCACCGTCAGCTCTATTAAAAGCATCTACAATTCAGGCTCTTTGAGCAACTGTTGTGCAACCAAAACATTATATGGTGGCGCTTTCAATTCAAATGCTGTCGTAGGGTCAGCTATTTGTCTGGTACTTCTGTGTCTATGTGTAGTGAGCAGTGCAAGCCTACTAAATGTTTATGCATTTAGCTGGCATTGTGCTGAGATAAATACTGAGGTTGTCTGTGAAACATCAGTGTATTCCTTTAATAATCCCTCCCCCTTTAACATGAGTGAACTAAAATGGGCAGAGGACATAGGGATGAAAACATGACTCAGGTATTTCTCATGGCAGGCCTGATGGAACAACCAGTTTAGAGGACATACGGCTGAACAACAGTATAAATCATAAGTTTGACCCCATGACAGCTTCTAAGCTATGGGGTCAACCCAAAGCGTTTCACCAGGGACAGTGACATGGTCAAGTGGCAAAAATCTCTTGCTTTTGCTATTTTCTCTTACATAGATTTTTAAAAAGAGACTTCCCCTACAAACTCAAGACATGCATCATCTACACTCTTGCGCCCCTTCACGTCATTCTGTCCACAGACACCCTGACAGCGTGCTCAGGGAACAATACAGCAGTCAGAAAGATGAGAGCACAACACAGGTAATAAAGATTGTCCACTCACCAGGCCATCGCAGTTGCTGATAGCCACAGTGGCTCCTGGTGTATCTGTGATGTCA